TGTGACATAGCTCCTAAACTCGTTGAGTTGTCTATCTGTATTCTCTTTAAACTCAATGAGTTTTTTTAATGATGGCTATTTTGAATTCATTGTCATTTAGGTTATAGATTTCAGTGTCTTTGGGATTGTTTCCTGGGTACTTGTCATTTTCCTTCTGTTCTGGAGTTTTAATATATTTTTTCATACTGCTTGTTGGCATGGATTTGTGCCTCTGGATAGAGATAGAGTTTAGTTACTGCTTCCACTTGCTTCTACTGGAGTTGGGGGGGAGTAGCTATGTAATCTGCACCAACCAGGATCCCTGTCAGCTGTTGCTGACCAGACCTGGGCCCCTCCTTGTGGTCACAGTGGCCCTGTGGGGTCTCTTATCAGCTGTGGGGACAATCACAAGGGGGCTGCAGGTTTCTGGTGCCTACTGTCACAGACCACCTAGATGTGCTCTCTTCTTAGTGTCTGCAGCAGTGTTATGGGCTTTCACAGAGGCTGGGAGCAGGTTCACCTAGGCTCACAGCTTTGCCACCGTCAGGACCCACAAGATCTCACTTGTCCACTATGGGCCACAGCAGCGCTATGGGTATCTACTGCAGTCTGTGGTTAGCTCACCCAGCTGTACTACTTCTGCCTCAGGGCCTTCCAGCCTTGTGATTTCTGGGCAGCGCCTCTCCACTAATGCTGTGCAGAAGCTTTCCTTGTGGCTGCTGTGGGACTGTGGATTTTCCCCCTGGAACATGGAGCAGACTTGCTGGGGCTCCAACTTGCCACCGCCCAGTCACATGGTCTCTCTGGGTCTCCCTTGCCCCCAAGGGCCACAGCAGTAGTTTGTGTTCCAGAGGTGGCTGGCAGGTTGCTGTGCCACCTGGGATCCTCCTACCCCGTGGCCTCCCAGCATTCTGAATGCTGGACGGGTCCTCTCCACTAATGCCAAGTAGAGGCTTTCTCTGTGGCTGCTATGGGACTGTGGATTTTCCCCCTGGAACGTGGAGCAGGCTCGCTGCGGCTCCAACTTGCCACCACCCACTCACACAGACTCACTGGGTCTCCCTTGCCCCCTGTGGGCCCCAGCAGGAGTTTGTGAGTCAGAGATGGCTGGCGGGTTGCTGCACTGCCCGGGATCCTCCTCTCTTGGAGCCTCCCAGTGTTCTGAACGCTGGGAAGGGCCTCTCCACTAATGCCGAGTAGAGGCTTTCCCTGTGGCTGCTGTGGGACCATGGATTTTTCCACTGGGCTAAGGGGCAATCGCAGGGGGCTTAGGTAGGGCTGTAGTCACCTGTTTTCACCATCACTCTGCCAATGTGTGCACAAGTCTGCCCTTGATGCCGTGGTGATGCTATGAGCATGTCCACTGGTAGAAAGTCACTTGCAGGTACGAGGCTGTCTGGGGGTTGGAGAGTTTTCACCTATCTCCACCTCCTCCCGGAGGAAATCCATCCACCCTCAATGTATAGCAGCACGGGTCTCTCAGGCATGCTGAGATGCTGTGTGGCTATCCTTTGTTGACTGATGAATGTCCAATTAGTTGTAGTTCGAAGGGGGAGAGACAAAGAAAACTGCTCACTCTGCCATATTTCTCCCTAGACCTTTTTACAGCAACATAATTTGCATAAATGCTGAGGACACACGGGACCTCACGGCATTCCTTTCCAAAGTTTCCTATAGTCTCTACAAGCTCTGGGAGCCCTGGTCCCACTTCCTCATAACCCAAAGTTTCCCTCAACCCCAAAGGCTCTGAACCTGCTACTTCTCTTCTTCTTTTCTCTTTTATTCTCCTTATTCCATGTGTGGAAGACATGTGGGATGCTTTGACTTGAAACTTACTTCCAACCCTGCAATTCTTTGCCAGCATTCCAGGAAGGTGGGAGCCAAAGAAATCACAGGTTTGGGTCTTTTGTAGTATCATCTCCCTCAGAAATCCCCAGAAGCTAGGAAGGTGGTAAAAGGAAAGAGTAAAGACTTCTGAAGATAGGGAGATAATCCTTCACTGTTAGAACTAAGAGGGTCCATAGAGTTTGCTCAGTCCTCTTGTTTTATGATTGGGGAAATGTGCTCAGACAGGGGAAGGGACCTGTCCAAGGTAATAAGTCAGTTCGTAACACAGTTATGACTCAGGGCTTCAACCTTCTGACTTTCCACCATGCCTGAGTGCAAATTTACTCCAGTTATAGAGCAACGTTCTAAATGTTGGAATGCCAAGCCTGTTTCCATTCAAGCTCACCTGTACTGGGATTGCCAACTGTCTCCTTTACCCCTACGGAGACTGCAGGTGGTAGGTGCAAGCCAAGTCATCAAGGTAGCAGCAGATGTCTGCCGTATTTTCTAAGTCCGCTGCCTGGGAAGAAGACATTCTCTCACAATCCCCTGGGAGGTCACGCCAGGGGGTCTAATGCAGGGGATCTGGTCACAGCTGTTCCCCTCCTTCCTCTCTCTTAGGGAGTGAGCCCAAACCCCAGCAGTTCAGAGACTTTTTGGCTGCTGCCACCACTCCACTACCAAGTGCATCAGAGTGCCCCACACCAGCCTCCTGGTTGTCAGGAGCAGATAACAGCCTCTTTGGGAGAAGCCTAACAAAACCAGGGTTAATACCTACCTTAGGGACTGCTCTGGGCTTATTTATAGGCCATGGGTGGGAAAATGTACTCCTGAGACTGGCACAGGTCCTGCTATCACCTCAGCAGCTACTCTCACCTCTGGGATATAAGTGGCTCCCACGTTGTAGCTCTGCTTCTCAAGGTCACAAACAGATGCTTGGACTAAAAATATCCTTAGGAAGGAGGATGATGTCAGGATCCCATTTGGGAAGCTAGTTGTCATTCAGCTCCTCTTATATCCCTGACCCTGCTGGAAATAGGATCCAAGGATTCCAGTCCCATTATATTTAGTACCTGATTTACCTCATCTTGTTCAGGGCCTGAAGGATTTCAGTTTGTTTTCTAGTGCTCAATCTCTGCCCTTCCATCTTCCTCCACATACATTCCTACAAGCCACTCCCTCTCAGCTTCTAATTTGGAGATTCCCAGGTCAGACCAGTATAGTGGAAAGAAGATCAACTTTGGATTTGGATAGACCCAGGTTCAAATTTCTGTTCTGCCACCTGGAAAAGTTGCGTTATATCTCTGAACCTCAGTTTCCCCATCTAAGGAATGAGATGCTGGATAACATCTGACGCACAGGATCATTGTGAGGACTGAGTGAAGTAAAATCTAGGAATGTTCCTGCCACAGTTCCTGGCATAGTGATAACTGATGGTAGGTTCCTTCTTTCCACTGCCTTCCACCAACTCCATATGGCCAAGGAGTTTCCCCACATGCACACACACATACTCTACTGTGGGACTCAACCTGAATCTACCCTAGTAATTGAGCTACTTCCTCTCATTATTCATTTATTCACTCACTCACTGACTCAACAAACATTTATTGAGCAAAGTTAGAAGGTCAGTGGAGTTTGCTTTCTGATAGCCTGATGTGCTGGAAGGGCAAAAGTTTTGAATTCAGGTATACCTGGATTTGAATTTTGGCTCTATCACTTACTAGCTGCGTGACCTGGAATAAATCACTTTACCACTTTGAGACTCAGTTCTGTTATCTGTAATATTAAGGTAATAATTTGAACCTCATAGGCAATGCTGTAAGGCTAAGAAACATAAAAATATTTTATAAACTCTGAAGTGCTATGCAACTAGATAGAAATGATAATAATGACAATAACAATAAACTAGTTAGAGATAGGAGTTGTGTCTATACCTATCCAGGCCCCTTACATATTTGATAGTCCATAAATATCTGTTGACGCCAATATTAGAATTCAAGACTTACTTTCCAAATGAAGTATGGGTGTTCTTCTACTTGAAAGGATCAGAATCCCAGAAACAACTCCACTGTAGGTGTATCCACACACATTTCACCCCACATATTGGCTGAGCTCTGCTCAAACCACTTGAAGCTTGGCTGACTCAGAGGCTTGTTTTGACAATAACATTCAAATAATTTCCCACTGAGGCCCTGTCCCTCCTAGTAGGGGTGGCTCTGGGTTGGTGTTGATCTAGAGGGCTGTAGGGAACAGCTAGAAGAACCTAACACCACTTAACTAAAAGGCCATGGGGCAGTTGGAAGCAATCTTAAGGAAGACACTGGCTTCTGAGCAGGTAAGAAGAAACTGATGTATCTTTACTTGTTATTTGTGTATTTCTTTGGTTATAGTATCATTTAGCTGCATTTGATAACTGAGCCAGGTGTCAGAAGACCTGAGTTTTGTTGCTGGGTTTCTGTGTGTGTTTGTGTGTGGTCAGTTCCAATCATTCCTTTTTTGTGAGCTTCAGTATCGTCATCTTGGAAATGGAGACAGTGCTGTTTAGCTGTTCTGAGAACACAGATTTCACTTATTAATTGGGTCTGATTAGATATGTCCTTGGTTTCTCCTCCTACTCGCTGGTTTTAGGATACAACCACTACTCACATTTCCTTTGAACATGTGGGTTACAGAAAGAGATGAAAATTTAGAACTGAATTTTCAGTTCTATTCAGAACTGAATATAATTCAGAAATATAATTCAGGATATAATTCAGAAATTATATTGCTTTGGGGAAGTGTGTTGAGAGGGGCAACAAATTAGGCCTAATGGTGGAAACAAGGTTTTGACAATATTTGTTTATTTTAACGCAGCTTTCCATACCACTTAAGACTTCAAGTACTAGAGAATTGTCCAGACCTGGAATTCTTATGTAATTCTAGACAAGAGCCTGAGGTTCCTCCTTTCCCAAGATATCCCTTGAGCGATACAAGAAGGTCCAGGGTATTTCAGATACTGGCTTTGGATTTCTTCTTGACTAATTTCAGCTCCCCTTCTCCCCTTTACTGGCCTCATGTGAGCATAACCTTCCATTCCATCCCTATCCACCTCAATCCTGGTGGTTCTGAAAGGTAGATCAGGGTGACTAGCAGCCAGGCCTCTCTAAAAGGAGCTGAGATATGAACTCAGCCTAAAGGCTATTCTCTTGCCGCAGGTAACTTGGACCAGGGCTCCAAGACACTGGAAACCTGTAAGAATGCTGGTGGATACTGGAAGCACCAGGAACCAGGAAACAAGCAAGTTAATAAGGTAAGACCTCTTTCTTAGTTCCTTTGGATCTTGTTAAGCCTCCAGGACCATTTATTTCTTCTAAGCTTTCCTTTTCTTAGACATATTCCAAGTATTGGAGCTTCCAGCATGTGGAATGGAAGCAATTTTAAAATGGGTTTCTGAGCTATTTTATAGCTCATAAAAGTTGGGAGCATTAACCTTTTTTCCCTGAGGTTAATTTTTTTTATGAAATAAACCAAGGACATTTTATGGCTTCTATGCAGCCTGTTGCTGCCATTGTCTTTGGCTGCCTTTCCTGCAGCAGATGGAGGAGCTGTGAGATTTTAAACCCGGGTACTTTGGTTTGCTTTTATTACATCCTTTGGGTTCATGACCATCTCTTCACTGCTAACTAGTGGCATATTTATGGGGATTTTCTTAGAGAAGATGTTTCCTAAATACAGATATAATAGCTGGTTCTTAGGAGTTCAGTGTTAGCAGACTTCTTTACTTCCATGTCTTTACATCCATGTCTGTTGAGTATTTGTGTGAACCTTTGTAAATGTAGCTTTATTACTATATCTCTGTGCATGTGCATGCCTCTCCACATGTGCCTATATATGCATCTTTGCCCATCTATGTGCCTGTTAAAGTTCTTCTTTGGTTCACGTATGGGTGTCCCTGAGCATGACTACAGTGTATTTTTTAATTTAACTCTCTGCTTGTGTGTGTCTCTGTTTGTGTGGATAGATAGATAGATAGATAGATAGATAGATAAGCATTTTGTCTGAGTGTATCTTTGGGTGTTTCGACATCTGGTGTTTTCCTGTATGTGTTTGGATCTATAGGCCTGTCTATTTGCATCTTTTTGCTTGAGGGTGTATATAGGTGCCTTCTTTCAAGTGTGTCTGTGTGTCTGCATGAGTCAGTCTATCTAGGAGCAAGCATGTTTGAACATATAAGGCTACAGCTCTGTGGCTAAATCCTGGTGAGCAATGACAAATGAGAATGCAACCCCCAGAGATATCTGGCCTAGTGGCTTAGCTTTCACTACCACCACCCTCCCAGTTGAATATTTCTGCTCAGAAATAAGCTTCTAGTCACAGCAGTTTAGGCATGTTTCATGACAACCACCACCTAGAGATTCTTGGCCAGGGATATGTGTCATAAATGTGAGGATTTGTTTTGTTTTGTTTTAGTTTGGGGGTTGCAAAGTAAGGCCCAGAGGAAAAGTTCTATGACATTGGGCTTACCTTCTTCTGTTTCCTGCCCCTGCTCAGTTGCCCTCTTATCAGCCTTCTCTCACTTGACTTCCCTGGCCCAGACTCAAGCTGGTCCATTTCTCCTAATACAAAGGGCACCAATAGGCAGTCTGAACACCTATTTTCATTTCAGCCAGGTCTCCATGCTGGGCCTCTGTTTATTCAGAGAACAAATGATCAGCATCCTCTTAATCAGTAATTTTTATGTGCTCAAAGACAGCAATTAGTCATTTGTGATAAGATCCTGTCCTTTGGGAAGCCAGCCTTTGTAAGGCCCCAAGAGGTTAAATCCAGGGAGGTGGTTCCAGCAGGATAAACTATTCAGACTCAATAGTTTAGGGGAGTGATGGAGGTCACCAGGAAAACCTTCGAGGATTCTATGGCATCCACAGGACTTGAAATGCTTAAGCAACAGTTTTTGTGGCCCTGCTCAGCCCTTGGTTCTCCTATGATAGTAATGATAATAATATTAATAACAGCTTGGATCTCTGTAACATTTTACAAAATGCTTTCAAATCCAGTGTTTCATTTGACCTCATGGCAGCCCTGTCAATAAATATCATCTCCCTTTTGTACATGAAAACTCTGAGGGTCAAAGAGGGCATATGGCTTGCCTAAAGTCATCCTGCTGGTAAGTGGTAGAGCCAGGACCCAAACCCTCTGTATGACTCCAAATCAGGATGCAGGTCCTAGATCTCTGCTCTGTCTTTCATAACCCTGGAGAATCCAGAGTTGGGAGCACAACACTTTTTCAAGGAACTAATCCAAGATAAGTTAAAAAGAAGAGTCTAGTGGTAGGCTGAAATATTCAAGACTTAGAGAGAGTGGAATTTGAGCTGGGCCCTGAAGGATGGGAAGGGATGAAATAAGCACAGCAGGGAGGTGGCCTCGTCAGATGGTAGGTGCTGTGACCAGGAGAGAACCACTTTCCCTCTTCCCCCAAGAACACTCAGTTCAAGCTGGCTGCCTATTAACAATGCCAGGAGTCAAAGAGAGCCACTCTTTACATGTGTGCGTACCTTATAGCTAAGAGAGCACTTTTAAACATATAATAACATTTGATTCTCACAGATAGCTTGGGAAGACTGTGTTATCCATTTTGCAGATGAAAAAATGAATCTGAGAGAAAAGAAACAGCTTTACCAAGGTCAAAAAGCAAGTAGATATCAGAGTAAAGGTGGGCCTTCTTATGGCTCCAAGCCCAGTGACCTGATACCTATTCCATATTCCTGCTTGAGTAAGATGGCAAGATGTCTGCTGTAGGTCTTATAGCATATAGACCTAGCCATATTTTGCCTCCACCACCCCCACCATCTGCTGCCTTCTCTAGGGCTCAGTTTGACTGGCCTTGACCTTGGTAGGCTGAGGATCAGCTGATGATCTCAGCCAGGAAAACATGCTATGCCGGTGGCCACATCTCACCAAGTCAGGAAGCTCTGGTGGGGATATGCTGGAGGCAAGACCAGTACCCAGGCCCCCAGCACTCTGAGGGAAAAATGTTGTTGGCTCCCCCTCAGTGGTTTCTTTTCTCTTCTGCAACCCTTATGTGTTACCTGTTAAAAAGCCAACCAAACTTTCTCCCAGAAGTTAAAATTAGCCAATCTCTTCTTCTCCCCAAGGCTTGGCTAAGAAAACATTTTCCAAAGGAAATTTATTAGTAAACTGATAGGGACAAATTGCTTTAGAGGAGTTTGGGAGGATGAGCCTTGAGTTTCAGGGTCTAATCTATTTCCCTTTACTCTGGGTTCTAGGCAAAGTCTTATCTGGGGCTGGTTAAATTTTTCTGCAGAGATTCTGATAACAATAATATTAGTGTTGAGCTTTTTAAAGTGCAGCCATAACCATTATCTCATTGGAGCTTCATACCCTGGGAGGGCAAGGCAGGTATTATTGTCTCTATTTAATAGAGGTAGGGAATGAGTCTCAGAGAAGTTTAACAATTTAAGATCACCTAGCTAACTGTTGGCAGAACCAGAATTGGAACCTAGATGTCTTAATTATCAGGTCTGTGTTCTTCTGACTTCATCTACCTGGATTACCTTCGTGGCCTTTGATTTTAAAGCTCCTTTCTTTCTGAGAACCCAGAACATTTTTGGTCAGCTTTATTAATATATAATTTAAATATAATAAAACTCACCAAGATTAAGTGTACAGTTTGATGCGTTTTGACAAATATGTATAGTTATGTAACCACTGACACAGTCATGATATAGAACATTTTCATCACCCCAAAAAGTACCCTCATGTCCCTCTGTCATTTGTCCTGTCTCCCCACTCCCCTGGAAATCACTGATCTGCTTTCTATCTCTATAATTTTGCCAAAATTTTAAAACTGGTAATAATTAGTTTATCTTCAAAAACTTGTGAGGACAGTAATGATCCCTTTCTGAATCTTGCAAACTTACAGGGAAGTGTAATTATTTTTTCTAAGTCATCCCAAAAGTTTGTTTGTTCATTCATTTATTTATTCACTCAGAAAACAGAGACTGTGTTCCAGGAACTGAGCTGGGTGCTAGGATACAGAATTTTAAAAGACATCTGTTCTCAAGGAGCTCACAATCTAATCAGAGAACTATAAGCCAATGAGGAATCAGAGCAACGTGATATGTCCTAAGAAAGAGGCTTCAACCTGAGTCTGTAGAAGTACTTAATTCTGTTTGAAGCAATCAAGGAAACAGATTAAATCCTGAATTCCAGAGGAAATGTTCTTTGAAAAATGATCAGGAGGGGCTGGCCCGGTGGCGCAGTGGTTAGGTTCGCATATTCCACTTCAGCGGCTCCGGTTTCGCCGGTTTGGATCCCAGGTGCCGACATGGCACTGCTTGGTAAAAGCCATGCTGTGGTAGGCTTCCCACGTATAAAGTAGAGGAAGATTGGCATGGATGTTAGGTCAGGACCAGTCTTCCTCAGAAAAAAGAGGAAGGTTGGCAGCAGATGTTAGCTCAGGGCTAATCTTCCTCAAAAAAAAAAAATGATCAGGAGTTGTGAAACAGGTACAGAGGTGACAGGGATAGGATTGGATACCTCTTTCCAGGCCAAGAGAGGGCAAAGATGTGAAGACAAGAATCAGCACACTTAGGGAACTACAAGATGGATAGATGAGATGATGGACATCCTGGCAAAAGTTCAAAAGAGCCCTAAAGGGCAGAGGTGCTAGTGGGCTTGATAAGAACCCTGACATCAAGGCCAGTCCCGTGGCCAAGTGGTTAAGTTCTCGTACTCTGTTTCAGTGGCCCAGGGTTTTGCTGGTTCGGATCCTGAGCGTGGACATGGCACTGCTCATTGGGCCATGCTGAGGTGGTGTCCCACATGCCACAACCAGAAAGACCTACAACTAGAATATACAGCTAGGTACTGGGGGGCTTTGGGAAGAAGAAGAAAGAAAGAAAAAAGAAAGACTGGATGGCTTCTATGATTGTGTTCTCTACTAGGGAAGGTCAAACCCTGATATCAAGTTGGGAAGTTGCAGGGAGTGCCAGAGTGATAACCATCTTCTGGAGCCGTGAGGTCTTGGGGCTTTCCAAGAGTGTTTAGAGTTGGATAAAAGTTCAACATTGAGAGAAGCTTTAATTTCCTTGCTCAGATGGCAGAGATAGGTTATCCCAGGGACCTGAAGGATCTTGTGCCATTTGCATTTTCCCAGGAGGACAGAATCAGTAGAGGCTGTTCTCAGCCCTACCCTTGGCCACATATTATGGAGGCTTCAGATTGTGGGAGACTCAGAGCTAGGAGCGATGTATATGTCATGAAATTGTTATGTTGCCAGTATTAGTGTAG